GCGTCTTCCTTGGTTCCTTTTGCAAAAGGAGTCTGTGCGTCTGAAAATTTTCAGAGAGACAACCTCTCCCCGCCGTCGGATTCTCCGCCGATCGAGTTGTGTTCGTAATAAGGTTTCTCAACGCGGGCATTTGAAAGGTGCGTTACGAATTTCCGGCTGTGTGTTGCCGCAGGCAGAGGGACCTTCCCTCTCCCCTCTCCCCTCGCCACGTCGTTGAGTCCGTTTGTTCGACAACCGCGTCCGCTCGGAGAATCTCTCTTTGCGCGTGCGGCTGTGCGGCTGTGAAAATTCCGGCTGCCGCGGAGGGGGCGAACGCGCGCGCGTAACGCTCGAGCTCGCAAGGTGCACCCGATGCGATGACAACGCGATGGTGACATACGCTTGCGATACTCGCTGCTGCGCCGCGGTGTACTCATCGACGCACGTGGCGCGCGCGTACGCGTGCGCTCGTCCGCCGTTCTCGCGCGCGCATGTGTGCGTGCCGCGGCGCGCGTTGCGTTACGGCAGGAATGCTCAGTCCATTGTACGGGAAAGAGTGTGAGAGTACCGACTGAATAGAACGGTCTCGCGCGGGGGCGGAGGTGGCAAAAGAGGTGTGTGCGAGGGAGCGAGAAAGTGAGAGTGAGCAATCTCTCAGTCTCTCTCTCTCTTCTCAGTCTCTCTCTCTCTCTCTCTCTCTCTCTCTCTCTCGAGATGGAGAAAGACGAGAGAGGAACGGCGTCCGTTCGAAGGAGAAGAAGAAGAGACGTCGCGCGCGGCTTTCGCGAGGAGTAAAGTACGCGCGCGAGACGCGAGTAGAAAAGGCGCTGGCAACGAGCGAGCTGGCGGCGGGGGGGGGAGGGAGAGGTGGGTTAACACAGGCGAAAGAAAGACTTACGCACAGCATGTAGAAAGACGGAGCGCGCGTGGAAGGTAAGGACAGGGTCTGCGAGCGAGACGGCGATATACGTGACGGTAGAGAGCAGGGCGGGGGCAGCGGAGAGAGGAGGAAGTGGAGGAGGAAAAGGAGGATGGAAACGGAGGGCGGAGGGCGGAGAGGGAACGAAACAGGCGGGCAGAGATAGAGTGAGAGAGAAGGGGGAAGGAGACAGAGACAGAGAGAGAGAGAGAGAGAGAGAGAGAGAGAGAGAGAGAGAGAGAGAGAGAGTGTACACGAGAAGGAGCGAGTTGCGCGGGGCTGCGTATGTTCTCAACGAACTGGGTCAGTAGGTCTCCCCACCGTGCTCTGCGTCGACAATCTACCGGCACATATACACACAGGCGGGCGCTAGTGCACCGTCGGGGTGCCAACGGCGTTACTGTTGACCCAGCCGAGGCTCGTACGTAGCCCGTGTGACGCTTCAAGCAACAGCAGCAGCAGCAGCCGCCGCTGACGACGATATCACCCGCGACGACGCGTCTTTCTCTCCTGTGCACTTTGAAAGCAAGAGTCGCGATCGCGCGCGCGGAGATCACCGCGCTCCTCTTCCCCCCCTCTCTCTCTCTTCTCTCTCTCTTCTTCCTCTCTCCCTCTCTCTCTCTCTTCTCTTCGTTCTCCGCCTTTCGCCCGTGCGCGAGCACGCGCGCCGCCGCCGCCGCCGAGTCCGGCTCTCCGGCAGAAGAAGCGATGAGCCGAAAAAAGAGCCCAAGAGTCCTGGCCGACACGTCGTCGGCCAACGGAGCGATCACTCCGGCAGGACCGGTCGCTTTCTCCGCTCTCGACGTTCTCGCGTGACCGCCGCATATTTCGCCGATCGCCCGACGGCTCCTCCGGCTCCCGACACCGACGAGCGCTCTGCAGGGTTCGCGCGCATCGCTTGAAAAAGAAGCGCGAGAAGTCGCGGGAGGACGAGGACGAGGACGAGGAGGAAAACGAGACAACAACGACGACGGCAACGGCAACGCGGTGTGGTTGAAGCGCTTTGTGTTTTCCAAACGCGGTATACGCAGAGACGTGAATCAACAACGTAACGTAACGCGTAACGACAGGCAACGCTCGCTCGCTCTCGCTCTCACTCTCGCATGCGCGCGCGCGCGCGCGCCGCGACGCGACGCGACGCGCCGAGCCGACAACGACGACGCGCCGCGCCCTCTCTCGTGGTGTATACGCTCGCGGACAATATTTCTCCGGCCGACATAGACCTGGTTCCGTAAGTAGGCCCGCCTCGGTCGCGCAACCTCCTTCTGCCGGCCCCTCCACCGGGATACCTTCGACCGCGGCAATACCGCCGCTCTCGCCTGCCCCCCTCCCCACCGCAACGCGTGCTACTCCCCCTTCCGCGGAGCGGCCTCTCAGACGGGCACCTCCACTCCGCGTCGGGTACCTGGCCGCGCGCGGTGGCATGCGCTGCTGAATCACTTTCACTTATGCCGTGCGCTGTGTTGGTTTATACTCCGCGCGCGCGTCTTGCTCGCTCGCTCGCTACCATCGTCGGTGCCTCTCTCTCTCTCTCTCTCTCTCTTGCTCTCGCTCGCTTGCTCTCTCGCTCTCATCTCTCTTTCTTGTCTCTCGGCTGCAACGTAGCCCGTCGGTAAAGGGACACACGCGCGTTCTCTCCTCTATACCCACCGAAACGCCGAAGGAGCTTGACAGTAGTGCGCGCCTCGGCACCATTCTCCACGCACAGTTTCGCCTAATTATCCGAGCATCATCGTCTCGTCGTCGTCGTCATCGTTGTCATCGTCGTGAACGTCATAGTGACCGTCGCTCACGACGAGAGAGAGCCTTCGGTCTTTCGGCAGTGCGCGCTCGTTAACGTGTGGTAACGTGCGCTCGGCGTCGCGCAGCGTTTGATCGCGCACGACGGGAGTGCGCGGCGGAACGAGGAGGAAGAAGGAGGAGGAGGAGGAGAAGGAGGAGGAGGAGGAGGAGGAGGAAAGGAGGCAAGCGGACAGCGAGGCAGCGTCGTCGTCGTCGTCGTCGTTGTTCTTTCGTCTCGTCACACGTCGTCATCGTCCGCGACATCTCGCGCATCTCACCAAACGACGACGATCCGGCGCGCCGCGCCGCGCCGCACACAGAGCCGGACGTCGGCGCGCGCGCGACGACGTCGTCGTCGTCGTCGTCGTCGTCGTCGTCGTTGACAACGTTGTTACCACGCGCGGCGCCGATACGTCACGTATGCCGTGTCTCGCGAAGGCGGCCTCCTCGGCGGTCTCTACCTACCTACCTACCTACTCCATGTGCCGTCGGTAGGGCAGCGGAGGGGAGGGGGCGGGCCCTTCGGGAAAGCAACGAGCCGAGAAGACAACTAGTCGTACGCAGATAGGCGAGCTGTCAGGTCACGTGCCGGCTCCTTGTCGATCGCGTGCGCGCGCGCGCGCTATCCACTCTCGCTTCGCTCTCTACGCTGTATTGCTCGTGCATTCGCGCGCTCCTCGCCAGCTCGACAGTCGTCGGCCGGTGCTACTTTATCTGGATTGCAGTGCGGGAAAGAGACGTGGTTGTGTGTGTATACACACACGCCACACCCTCTCGCGATAGTACACTCGTCTCACGTTCGTCTGTGTTCTTCTTACGCTCCGCGCGCGCGTCTCCCTCCGCAAGTCGCGCGCGCTTTGAGCGGTGTGACGCGCCGCGCCGCGACGCGACGCGACGCGACGAAACGCGTGTTGTGTGTTGACAATCCGTACACCGCGCCGCGGGCTGCGCGCGTCAGTCAGTAAATCTGTCCCGCTACGACCGCCGCTGATCGCTAAGCGCGCGTTTTCCTCCGCGGACGAACGTGTTAACATTCGCGCGATATATACGTCGGCATTGTGCTCGTCGACGACGACGACGACGACGGGCGACGACCACCGACGTTGGATTGCAGTGCGGACGACGGGGAAAGGAGTCTTCTCTCTCTCTCTCTCTCTCTCTCTTCTCTCTTGTCTCTCTGCCTCCTGATCTCTCGTTCTCACATCCTCTCTCTCTCTCTCTCTCTCTGCGCTATCTAGAAGGATACCACCGTTTAGCCCGGTGTGCCTCCGTAAACGCTATCGACGCTTTTGACAGCGCGAGTGCTCACACTTTCGCCCGGACGTCGTCGGCCGCGCGCGCGACCTCCAGCCGACGACACTCTGACGATGCCTCGAACGTAGTCGCGCACGGCGCGTGTTTGTTACTATCCCCGCGGCTGCAACGTGTGCGCGTCCCAAACGTGCACGTTTCGGTGGTGCGCGATGCTTGGTCTCTCGACGAATGTGTGCCGTGTGCCAGAGAGCGTGACTGGTGGTCGATAATCCACCGAGTGGCACCGAGGTGTGTGCGTGCGTGCGTGCGTGCGTGTGGTGCATGTGGTGCATGTGTGTGGTCCCCCTGTTACACACGACTCTGTCTCGCCCGCCCCCCCTTTGACGGATTGTGCCCTTGTCCGTCATCATCATCGTCATCGTCGTCGTCTCATCATCATCATCACCATCATCTATCCGCATCATCGCCGTCGTCGTCGCTTAGAGAGACGTGTTCACTCATCGGAGTCTCGTCCAAGTTGTGATCCATTGAGAAAACGGCAGCGAAACGTCTACCGGCCGCTGGTCGGGCCGCGATCAGGCCGCGTTTCATGGACGCTTGTAGCGGCACGGTAACGCAGTCGACGTGCCGTTGCTGCGTCCTCGCCGATCTCGATCGGCGCTCGCCGCAGCCGTCGCGCGAGCGAAGCGACCACGGGCGACCAGCACGTTCGTCGAAACGAAGCGACGTGCTGAAAATACGGACGAGCGCGCACGAACGCCAGGGCGAAGGAGAACGCGAGTGCCCGCTCTCGTGCGAGTCCCTCGTCCTCGTCGTCGTCGTCGTTCGTCGTCGTCGTCAATAATAACGTCAACGTCAACATCGACGTCAGCATCAACAACAACATCAACAACGTCATCATCATCATCATCATCATCAACATCATCATAATCATCATCGACAACAATATCAGCGGCCGATTCCGGCGACGGCACAGTAAACACAGTCGTTTCATGCATGTGCCGATACGCGAGCACCACGTCCCTTCGTCGTGCGGAACTCGCGCAAGGGTGATATGTTATTGGAGATGGAGCAGCACCCGGCCTTGATGTCCCTGAACATGTCGCCGTTCCACTTGAGCCCGCAAGGGCGCCACAGGCCGCCGCCGGGCAGCAGCCCCGCAGCAACCTCAGCAGCAGCAGCAGCAGCAACAGCCGCACTACGGCTCGTCACCTTACGGCAATTGCGCGCAGAACTCGCCGTCGGCCATGTGCCATTCGCAGCCGCAGCTCCAGTCGCAGCAACAGCAACAACTGTCCGCGCACAATCCGGCACAGTCGCAGGGCGGTATCTCGGGTTCGAGGCCGCCTTCTTCGACTCTACCACTCCCTCGAGGAGCGATGCCCGATGTGCGGGACGACAAATGTCCGGTGTTACAGTACGGCCTGTCAGTGCGATTTGCAAGGGTTTCTTCAAACGCAACAGTTCGCCACCGCCACCGCCACGTAGGCGAAAGAACATTTGAACTGCGCTTAAACTCTTTTGCAGTGCTGGCACGCGACCTTGTTGCCGTTTGAAGAACCTTTGCAAAGACATTCGCAGGTGAGCAGGCCGTACTACACAACGAGACAAATTATTGTCGCACGCAATCAGGGCAATCCGCTACCTACGGGAGTGAGGGTAGAAATTCGAAGAAGGGGCTCGAAAGCCCGACGATACCGCCCTCGACTGATGCGGATTGTGCTCGCGGCGATCGGTTGTTAGCTGTAATAAGCTGCCGACTGAGCTGAGGTGGCATTAGATTAAAAATGGATGGCCGACGCGAGTTCTGCGCGCAATTGCCGTAAGGTGACGAGCCGTTAGTGCGGTGGTTGCTGTGCTGCTGCTGCTGAGGTTGCTGCGGGGGCTGCTGCCCGCGGCGGCCGTGGGGTGCCTTGCGGGCTCAAGTGGAACGGCGACATGTTCCTGGGACATCAGGACCACGGGTGCTGCTCTTCTCCGATGTTATCACCTCTGTGCTGAGTTACTGTCATTCGACGATAAGGGACGTGTGTGTGCTGTCGCGTAATCGGCAACATCGCATGAATATACGACTGCTGTTTACTGTGCCGTCGCCGGGAATACGGCCGCTTGATATGTTGTCGATGATGATGTTTATGATGATGTTCGATGTAGATAGATGTGATGATGACGGTGTGTGTGGGATGGTTGTTTGTTGATCGTCTACCGGCGTCGATTAGTTGACGTTGCGTTTTTTTTTTTTTTATGGACGACGACGACGACGACGACGAGACGACGAGGACGAAGGGTACTCGCACAGAGCGGCGGCACTGCGTTTCCTTCGCCCTGGCGTTCGTGCGGCTCGTCCGTATTTTCAGCACTCGCTTCGTTTCGACGAACGTGATTGGTCGCGCGTGGGTCGCTTCGCTCGCGCGACGGCTGCGGCGGAGCGCCGATCGAGATCGGCGAGGCGAGCAACGCAGCACGGTCGGGACTGCAGTTACCGTGCCGTACAGCGTCCATGAAACGCGGCCTGATCGCGCCCGACCAGCCGGCCGGTAGACGTTTTCGCTGCCGTTTTCTCAATGGATCAACTTGGACGAGACTGTCCGATGAGTGAACACGGTCTCTCTAGCGACGGACGGCGGCGATTGATGCGGATGATGATGGGATGATGATGATGATGATGACGACGACGATGACGATGAGATGACGGACAAGGGCACGAATCCCGTCAATAGGGGGGGGGGCGAGACAGAGTGTATGTAACAGGGCGGGAACCACCAACATAGACAAGGGATGCACCACACGCACGCACGCAGCAGGCACCACAGCCTCGGTGCCCATCGGTGGATTACGACCCACCAGTCACGCTCTTCCTGCACAGGCACCACATTTCGTGAGCAGACCAAGCCATTTCGCGCACCACCGAAGTGCACGTTTGGGACGGCGCACACGTTGCAGCCGCGGGGATATTAAACAACACGCGCCAGTGCGCGACTAACGTTCGAGGCCCAGTCGTTCAGGAGTGTCGTCGGCTGAGTCGCCGCGCGCGGCCGACGCCGTCCGGGCGAAAGTGTGAGCACTCGCCCGCTGTCAAAAGCGTCGATTAGCGTTTACGGCAGGGCCACCGGGCTCTAAAACGGTTGGTATTCCTTCTAGATAGCGCGAGAGAGAAGAGAGAGAGAGCGTGGATGGTGAGGAACGAGAGATCAGGAGGCCAGAGAGACAGAGAGAAAGAGAGAGAGGAGAGGAGAGAGGGAGACTCCTTTTCCCCCGTTCGTCCGCACTGCAATCCAACGTTCGTGGTCGTCGTCGTCGTGTCGTCGTCGTCGTCGACGAGCACAAAATGCACGACGGATATATATCGCGCGGAATGTTTAAACGTTCGTCCGCGGAGGAAACGCGCGCCTTAGCGAATCCAGCGCGGTCGTAGCGGACAGATGTATGACTGACGCGGCAGCCCGCGGGCGCAGGTGTACGGTCTTGTCACACACAAACACGCGTTTCGTGCCGCGTCGCGTCCGCGTCGCGGCGCGGCGCGTACCGCTCAAGCGCGCAGCGACTTGCGGAGGGGAGACGCGCGCGCGGAGCGTAGAAGAACACGACGTAAGGAGACGAGTGTAACTATCGCGAAGGTGTGCGATGTGTGTGTATACACACAACACGTCTCTGTTCCCGCACTGCAATCCATAAGTAAGCACGGGCCGACGACGTGTCTGTCGAGGTGGCGAGGCGCGCGCGAATGCACGAGCAAAACTAGCGTAGAGCGAACGCGAGATGGTGAGCGGCGCGCGCTGCGCACGCGATCGACAAGGAGCCGGCCACAGTGACCTGACAGCTCGCCTATACTGCGTTACGACTAGTTTGGTCTTCTCGGGCTCGTTGCTTTCCGAGGGCCCGCCCCATCCCCTCAGCTGCCCTACCGACGGCAATGGAGTAGTAGGTAGTTTAAGTAGAGACCGCCGAGGAGCCGCCGTTCGCGAGACACGGCATTACGTTGACGTATCGGCGCGCGCGGTGGTAACAACGTTGTCAACGACGGGCACGACGACGACGACGGACGACGACGTTCGTTCGCGCGCGACGCGACGGTCCGGCTCTGTGTGCGGCGCGGCGGCGGCGCGCCGGGATCGTTCGTCGTTTGGTGAGAGTGCGCGAGGATGTCGCGGACGATGACGACGTGTGACGAGGCACGGAAAGACAACGACGGACGCGACGACGGCGCTGCCTCGCTAGTTCGCTTGCCCCTTTTCCCTCTCCTCCTCCTACTCCTTCTCCTCCTCCTCCTTCTTTTTCTTCCTCCTTTCGGTTTCAGCCGCGCACTCCCGTACGGTGGCGCGATCAAACGCTGCCGCGACGCCAAGAGCGCACTTACCACAACGTTAACGAGGCGCGCTGCCGAAAGACGGAAGGCTCTCTCTCGTCGCTGAGCGACGGTCACTCTGACGTTCAACGACGATGACCACGATGACGACGACGACGAAGACGATGATGTCGGATATTAGGCGAAAACTGTGCGTGAGATGGTGCGAGGCGCGCACTCTTGTTCAAGCTCCTTCGGCGGTTTCGGTGAGTTATAGAGGAGAGGAACGCTGCGTTGGTTCCCTTTACCTAGGGCTACGTTGAGACGCAGAGGGACAAGAAGAGAAGAATGAGAGCGAGAGAGCAAGCGAGCGAGAGCAAGAGAGAGAAGAGAGAGAGAGAGGGCACGACGATGGTAGCGAGACGAGCGAGCAAGACGCGCGCGCGGAGTATAAGACCCAACGCAGCGCACGGCTTAAGTGAAATTGATTCAGCATGGCATGCCACCGCGCGCGGCCAGGTACCCGACGCGGATGGAGGTGCCCGTCTGAGAGGCCGCTCCGCGGAAGGGGAGGGAGTAGCACGCGGGTTGCGGTGGGGAGGGGCAGGCGAGAGCGGGCGGTAGTTGCCGCGGTCGAAGGTCATCCGGTGGAGGGGCGGCGAGAAAGGAGGTTGCGCGACCGAGGTGGCGGGATGACACTACTTACGGAAACCAGGTCATGTCGGCCGGGAAGAAATATTTCCGCGAGCGTATTCACACGAGAGAGGAAGCGCGGCGCGTTCGTCGTTTCGGGCCCGGGGCGCGGTCGCGTCGCGTCGCGTCGCGCGCAGCGCGCGCGCCGCGCGCATGCGAGAGTGAGATGCGAGAGCGAAGCGGCGTTGACCTTTCGTTACGCGGTTACGTTACGTTGTTGATTCACGTCTCTGCGTATTACCGCGTTTGGAAACACAAAGCGCTTTCAACCACACCGCGTTGCGTTGCTCGTTCGTCGTTGTTGTCTGCGTTTTTCCTCCTCGTCCTCGTCCTCAGACACTTCCCGCGACTTCTAAGCGGGCTTCTTATTTCAAGGATTGCGGCGCGAACCCATTGCAGAGCGCTCGTCGGATTCGGGAGCCGGAGGGCCGATCGGGCGATTCGGCGAATATGCGGCGGTCTCGGCGAGACGTCGAGAGCGAGAAAGCGACCGGTCCTGCCGGAGTGACGTAAAGACGCATCCGTTGGCCGGACGACGTGTCAGGCCAGGACTCTTGGGTCTTTTTTTCTGTCTTCATCGCTTCTTCTGCCGGCAGAGCCGGACTCGGCGGGCGCGGCGGGCGCGCGTGCTCGCGCACGGGCGAAAGGCGGAGACGAGAGAGAGAGGAAGAGAGAGAGGGAGAGAGAGAGAGAGAGATGAGAGAGAGAGAGAGAGGGGCGGGGCGGAAGAGGAGCGCCCGGTGATCTTCGCGCGGCCTGCGCGATCGGCCGACTCTTGCTTTCAAAGTTGCACAGGCAGAGAAAGACCGTCGTCCGCGGGCTGCCTGTTATCTCGTCAGCGGCGGCTTGTGCTGCCTGCGTTGCTTGAAGCGTTCACACGGGACTACGTACGAGCTCGGTGGGGCAACAGTAAGCCGTTGGCACTCCACGGTGCAACTAGCGCCCGCTGATGTGTATATGTGCCGGTAGTTAGATGTGCGACCGCAGAGCACGGTGGGAGACTACTGACCCAAGTTGTTGAGAAACATGGACGCAGCCGCGCGCAACTCGGCTCCTGCTCGTGTACACCTCTCTCATCTCTCTCTCTCTCTCCTTCTCTCTCTCTCTTCTTCTCTCTCTGTACTCTGTCTCCTTCCCCCCTTCTCTCTCAGCTCTATCTCTGCCCGCCTGTTTACGTTCCCTCTCGCGCCCTTCCGCCCTCCGTCTTTCCATCTCCTCCCCTTTCCTCCTCACTTCCTCCTCTCTCCAGCTGCCCCTCGCCGTGCTCTCTACCAGCACGTCTTATCGCCGTCTCGCTCGCAGACCCTGTCCTTACCTTCCACGCGCGCTCCGTCTTTTACATGCTGTGCGTAAGATCTTTCTTTTCGCTGTGTTAACCCCCTTCTTCCTCCCCCCCCCCGCCGCAGGCTCCGCTCGTTGCCAGCGCCTTTTCTACTCGCATCTCGCGCGGTACTTTTATCCTCGCGAAAAGCCGCGCGCGACGTCTCTTCTTCTTTTTTCCTCTCGAACGGGACGCCGTTCCTCTCTTTCGTTCTCTTTCTCACATCTCGAGCGAGGAGAGAGAGATAGAGAGCGGAGAGAGAGAGGATGAGTAGAGAGAGAGAGAGACTGAGAGATTTGCTCACTCTCAACTTTCTCGCTCCTCGCACACACAGTCGCCTCTCGCTCGAGCCGCTCTCTCGCGGCTTTTTTTTGCATTTTTTCCTCGGAATTGCCCGTTCGTCGCCCTTTCGAGACACGCGCGCGCGTGTGAGCGCTCCGGTTCTTAATAATTATTAATTGCTAAATTGACCTCGGTCGCACGTCGACGTTGTCCGCCTTCTGACACGCATTCTGATTTTCAAACCCAGTCCCAGTTATCATCTGCGCGCGCTGAGTCTTCGCTGAGCTTCGCTGCGCGCGCGCTTTCTCGTACCAAAAATTATTTAATTCTCAAATAAATCAAATCACCGCGTTCGCGATGACGCGAAATTCAGCGTCTTCCTTGGTTCCTTTTGCAAAAGGAGTCTGTGCGTCTGAAAATTTTCAGAGAGACAACCTCTCCCCCCGCCGTCGGATTCTCCGCCGATCGAGTTGTGTTCGTAATAAGGTTTCTCAACGCGGGCATTTGAAAGGTGCGTTACGAATTTCCGGCTGTGTGTTGCCGCAGGCAGAGGGACCTTCCCTCTCCCCTCTCCCCTCGCCACGTCGTTGAGTCCGTTTGTTCGACAACCGCGTCCGCTCGGAGAATCTCTCTTTGCGCGTGCGGCTGTGCGGCTGTGAAAATTCCGGCTGCCGCGGAGGGAGGGCGAACGCGCGCGCGTAACGCTCGAGCTCGCAACCTGGTGCACCCGATGCGATGACAACGACGATGGTGACATACGCTTGCGATACTCGCTGCTGCGCCGCGGTGTACTCATCGACGCACGTGCGCGCGCGTACGCGTGCGCTCGTCCGCCGTTCTCGCGCGCGCATGTGTGCGTGCGCGCGCGCGCGTTGCGTTACGGCAGGAATGCTCAGTCACTTGTACGGGAAAGAGTGTGAGAGTACCGACTGAATAAGTGAGTCGGTCTCGCGCGGGGGGCGGAGGTGGCAAAAGAGGTGTGTGCGAGGGAGCGAGAAAGTGAGAGTGAGCAATCTCTCAGTCTCTCTCTCTCTCTCTCTCTCTCTCTCTCTCTCTCTCTCTCTCTCTCTCGAGATGGAGAAAGAGAACGAGAGAGGAACGGCGTCCGTTCGAAGGAGAAAGAAGAAGAGACGTCGCGCGCGGCTTTTCGCGAGGAGTAAAGTACGCGCGCGAGACGCGAGTAGAAAAGGCGCTGGCAACGAGCGGAGCTGGCGGCGGGGGGGGGAGGAGAGGGTGGGTTAACACAGGCGAAAGAAAGACTTACGCACAGCATGTAGAAAGACGGAGCGCGCGTGGAAGGTAAGGACAGGGTCTGCGAGCGAGACGGCGATATACGTGACGGTAGAGAGCAGGGCGAGGGGCAGCGGAGAGAGGAGGAAGTGGAGGAGGAAAGGGGGAGGAGATGGAAACGGAGGGCGGAGGGCGCGAGAGGGAACGAAACAGGCGGGCAGAGATAGAGTGAGAGAGAAGGGGGGAAGGAGACAGAGAGAGAGAGAGAGAGAGAGAGAGAGAGAGAGAGAGAGAGAGAGAGAGAGAGAGAGAGGTGTACACGAGAAGGAGCGAGTTGCGCGCGGCTGCGTCATGTTCTCAACGAACTGGGTCAGTAGGTCTCCCCACCGTGCTCTGCGTCGCACATCTACCGGCACATATACACACAGGCGGGCGCTAGTGCACCGTCGGGGAGTGCCAACGGCGTTACTGTTGACCCAGCCGAGGCTCGTACGTAGCCCGTGTGACGCTTCAAGCAACAGCAGCAGCAGCAGCCGCCGCTGACGACGATATACACCCGCGACGACGCGTCTTTCTCTCCTGTGCACTTTGAAAGCAAGAGTCGCCGATCGCGCGCGCGAGATCACCGCGCTCCTCTTCCCCCCCCCTCTCTCTCTCTCTCTCTCTCTCTCTCTCTCTCTCCCTCTCTCTCTCTCTCTCTCTCTCGTTCTCCGCCTTTCGCCCGTGCGCGAGCACGCGCGCCGCCGCCGCCGCCGAGTCCGGCTCTCCGGCAGAAGAAGCGATGAGCCGAAAAAAAGAGCCCAAGAGTCCTGGCCGACACGTCGTCGGCCAACGGAGCGTCTTACGTCACTCCGGCAGGACCGGTCGCTTTCTCGCTCTCGACGTTCTCGCCGTGACCGCCGCATATTTCGCCGATCGCCCGACGGCTCCTCCGGCTCCCGACACCGACGAGCGCTCTGCAGGGTTCGCGCGCATCGCTTGAAAAAGAAGCCCGCGAGAAGTCGCGGGAGGACGAGGACGAGGACGAGGAGGAAAACGAGACAACAACGACGACGGCAACGGCAACGCGGTGTGGTTGAAGCGCTTTGTGTTTCCAAACGCGGTATACGCAGAGACGTGAATCAACAACGTAACGTAACGCGTAACGACAGGCAACGCTCGCTCGCTCTCGCTCTCACTCTCGCATGCGCGCGCGCGCGCGCGCGCGCGACGCGACGCGACGCGACGCGCCGAGCCGACAACGACGACGCGCCGCGCGCTCCTCTCTCGTGGTGTATACGCTCGCGGACAATATTTCTCCGGCCGACATAGACCTGGTTCCGTAAGTAGGTCATCCCCCGCCACCTCGGTCGCGCAACCTCCTTCTCGCCGGCCCCTCCACCGGGATACCTTCGACCGCGGCAATACCGCCCGCTCTCGCCTGCCCCCCTCCCCACCGCAACCGCGTGCTACTCCCCCCCTTCCGCGGAGCGGCCTCTCAGACGGGCACCTCCACTCCGCGTCGGGTACCTGGCCGCGCGCGGTGGCATGCGCTGCTGAATCACTTTCACTTATGCCGTGCGCTGTGTTGGTTATACTCCGCGCGCGCGTCTTGCTCGCTCGCTCGCTACCATCGTCGGTGCCCTCTCTCTCTCTCTCTCTCTCTCGCTCTTGCTCTCGCTCGCTTGCTCTCTCGCTCTCATTCTCTCTTTCTTGTCTCTCGGCTGCAACGTAGCCCGTCGGTAAAGGGACACACGCGCGTTCTCTCCTCTATACCCACCGAAACGCCGAAGGAGCTTGACAGTAGTGCGCGCCTCGGCACCATTCTCCACGCACAGTTTCGCCTAATTATCCGAGCATCATCGTCTTCGTCGTCGTCGTCATCGTTGTCATCGTCGTGAACGTCATAGTGACCGTCGCTCACGACGAGAGAGAGCCTTCGGTCTTTCGGCAGTGCGCGCTCGTTAACGTGTGGTAACGTGCGCTCGGCGTCGCGCAGCGTTTGATCGCGCACGACGGGAGTGCGCGGCGGAACGAGGAGGAAGAAAAGGAGGAGGAGGAGGAGAAGGAGGAGGAGGAGGAGGAGGAGGAAGAGGAGGCAAGCGGACAGCGAGGCAGCGTCGTCGTCGTCGTCGTCGTTGTTCTTTCGTCTCGTCACACGTCGTCATCGTCCGCGACATCCTCGCGCATCTCACCAAACGACGACGATCCGGCGCGCCGCGCCGCGCCGCACACAGAGCCGGACGTCGCGCGCGCGCGACGACGTCGTCGTCGTCGTCGTCGTCGTCGTCGTCGTTGACAACGTTGTTACCACCGCGCGCGCCGATACGTCACGTATGCCGTGTCTCGCGAAGGCGGCCTCCTCGGCGGTCTCTACCTACCTACCTACCTACTCCATGTGCCGTCGGTAGGGCAGCGGAGGGGAGGGGGCGGGCCCTTCGGGAAAGCAACGAGCCGAGAAGACAACTAGTCGTACGCAGATAGGCGAGCTGTCAGGTCACGTGGCCGGCTCCTTGTCGATCGCGTGCGCGCGCGCGCGCTCATCCACTCTCGCTTCGCTCTACGCTAGTTTGCTCGTGCATTCGCGCGCTCCTCGCCAGCTCGACAGACACGTCGTCGGCCCGGTGCTACTTTATCTGGATTGCAGTGCGGGAAAGAGACGTGGTTGTGTGTGTATACACACACACGCACACCCTCTCGCGATAGTACACTCGTCTCCTTACGTCGTGTGTCTTCTTACGCTCCGCGCGCGCGTCTCCCTCTCGCAAGTCGCGCGCGCTTTGAGCGTGTGACGCGCCGCGCCGCGACGCGACGCGACGCGACGAAACGCGTGTTGTGTGTTGACAATCCGTACACCGCGCCGCGGGCTGCGCGCGTCAGTCAGTACATCTGTCCCGCTACGACCGCCGCTGATCGCTAAGCGCGCGTTTTCCTCCGCGGACGAACGTGTTAAACATTCGCGCGATATATACCGTCGGCATTGTGCTCGTCGACGACGACGACGACGACGACGACGACGACCACGACGTTGGATTGCAGTGCGGACGACGGGGGAAAGGAGTCTCCTCTCTCTCTCTCTCTCTCTCTCTTTCTCTCTGTCTCTCTGCCTCCTGATCTCTCGTTCTCACCATCCACTTTCTCTCTCTCTCTCTCTCTCGCGCTATCTAGAAGGATACCACCCGTTTAGCCCGGTGTGCCTGCCGTAAACGCTAATCGACGCTTTTGACAGCGGCGAGTGCTCACACTTTCGCCCGGACGTCGTCGGCCGCGCGCGCGACCTCCAGCCGACGACACTCTGACGATGCCTCGAACGTAGTCGCGCACGGCGCGTGTTTGTTACTATCCCCGCGGCTGCAACGTGTGCGCGTCCCAAACGTGCACGTTTCGGTGGTGCGCGATGCTTGGTCTCTCGACGAATGTGTGCCGTGTGCCAGAGAGCGTGACTGGTGGTCGATAATCCACCGAGTGGCACCGAGGTGTGTGCGTGCGTGCGTGCGTGCGTGTGGTGCATGTGGTGCATGTGTGTGGTCCCCCCTGTTACACACGACTCTGTCTCGCCCGCCCCCCCCTTTGACGGATTGTGCCCTTGTCCGTCATCATCATCGTCATCGTCGTCGTCATCATCATCATCATCACCATCATCATCCGCATCATCGCCGTCGTCGTCGCTTAGAGAGACGTGTTCACTCATCGGAGTCTCGTCCAAGTTGTGGATCCATTGAGAAAACGGCAGCGAAACGTCTACCGGCCGGCTGGTCGGGCCGCGATCAGGCCGCGTTTCATGGACGCTTGTAGCGGCACGGTAACGCAGTCGACGTGCTGCCGTTGCTGCGTCCTCGCCGATCTCGATCGGCGCTCGCCGCAGCCGTCGCGCGAGCGAAGCGACCACGGGCGACCAGCACGTTCGTCGAAACGAAGCGACGTGCTGAAAATACGGACGAGCGCGCACGAACGCCAGGGCGAAGGAGAACGCGAGTGCCGCCGCTCTCGTGCGAGTACCCTCGTCCTCGTCGTCGTCGTCGTCGTCGTCGTCGTCGTCAATAATAACGTCAACGTCAACATCGACGTCAGCATCAACAACAACATCAACAACGTCATCATCATCATCATCATCAACAACATCATCATAATCATCATCGACAACAATATCAGCGGCCGTATCCGGCGACGGCACAGTAAACACAGTCGTTTCATGCATGTGCCGATACGCGAGCACCACGTCCCTTCGTCGTGCGGAACTCGCGCAAGGGTGATATGTTATTGGAGATGGAGCAGCACCCGGCCTTGATGTCCCTGAACATGTCGCCGTTCCACTTGAGCCCGCAAGGCAGCCCACAGGCCGCCGCCGGGCAGCAGCCCCCGCAGCAACCTCAGCAGCAGCAGCAGCAGCAACAGCCGCACTACGGCTCGTCACCTTACGGCAATTGCGCGCAGAACTCGCCGTCGGCCATGTGCCATTCGCAGCCGCAGCCTCAGTCGCAGCAACAGCAACAACTGTCCGCGCACAATCCGGCACAGTCGCAGGGCGGTATCTCGGGCTTCGAGGCCGCCTTCTTCGACTCTACCACCTCCCTCGAGGAGCGATGCCCGATGTGCGGCGACAAAATGTCCGGTGGTTATCAGTACGGCCTGCTCACGTGCGAATCTTGCAAGGGTTTCTTCAAACGCAACAGTTCGCCGTGCAGCAGCAAAAGAGTTTACGCGTGTTTGTTCTCGCCTACGGGCGGTGGCGGTGGCGGTGGTGGCGGCGGCGGCGGCGGTGGCGGTGGCGGTAGCGGCGGCGGCGGCGGCGGCGGTGGTGGTGGTGGTGGTGGTGGTGGTAGTGGTGGTAACGGCGGCGGCGGCGGCGGCGGCGGCGGCGGTGGTAGCAATAGTAACAACGGCAACGGCGGTAACGGTATCTGCGGTGCGTCTTCGGCTCTCGAGAGCAACGTTGCCTGCGGCAACAAGAAGGTGTACACGTGCTTGTTCTCGTCAACAGGAGCCGGAAGCAGCAACGGAGCCGGCGCGTCCACCGGTCTCGAAGGTAACGGCGGTGGTGGCGGCAACAGCGGCGGCGTCGGCGGTTACGCCGGCAACGGCAGCGATGGTAGCGGCAGCGGGGCAAGCACTGCCGCAGGCGGCGGTGGACCCGCGGCGGGCAATGCCGCCGGTGGCGGCGGTGGCGGTGGTCCCGCCGGTGGCGCGGGAAGCGGCAACGTCGCGGTACCGACCGCCGGCGCCGGTACCCTCTGCCATCCTGGCTTGGGCCAGGTCGGAGTCGGCGTCGTGACCGGCTCGATACCGTGCCCGTCCGACTTTCCCGACACGAAGGACATCGTCATCGAAGAGCTGTGTCCGGTGTGCGGGGACAAAGTGTCCGGCTATCACTACGGACTGCTCACCTGCGAGTCCTGCAAGGGCTTCTTCAAGCGCACCGTCCAGAACAAGAAGGTGTACACGTGCGTCGCCGAGAGATCCTGTCACATCGACAAGACGCAGCGCAAACGGTGTCCCTTCTGTCGCTTCCAGAAATGCCTCGACGTCGGCATGAAGCTCGAGGGTGAGTCTGGTCTTCCAATAAATTCCTTATTAGCCACTTTGCTCTCTCGTCCTCCCTCGCTGTTACGATATTCGCGCGCGCGCGCGTGTTCTTCCTTTTCTTTTCTTTTTTTTTTTTCACAGGCCCCACCCCGGGGCCTCACGATGATGACGCTTGATTGCTCGTTTGCGCGCTCGGTCCGTTTCTCGCGGTGTAGCGGGACTATCCGCTGGAGCCTATATTTGGAATTGGTCCGCTGGACTTTCGAGTCTCTCTGTCTCTCTCTCTCTCTCTCTCTCTCTCTCTCTCTCTCTCTCTCTCTCTCTCTCTCTCTCGCTCTCGCTCGCTCGCTCGCTCTCTCGAAACAACGTGCCCGACCCACGTGTCGCACGCCGCAACGCACGTTGGAAATGCAAATTTATGTAAAGCGCGGGGAAGATTGTTTGAAACCGGAGGAAAAATTGACGCGCCGAAAGCGTCTTTACGCGCAAGACCGCGCGGTCTCTCTCTCTCTCTCTCTCTCTTTCTCTCTCTCTTTCTCTCTCTCTCCTGCGCTATTGTCATCGCGGAGACACCGGCGTGAGAAACGCCGTTTCATTGTTGTATTTACATCGGCGTTCGCATTCTCGCGGTGTGTAAGCGCGACAAAACGGGCGAGCTGCGGGGAGATTTCGGCCGAGTGAATATTAATAAATGCGCGAGGCGCGAATCGAGGACCGATTTCGCGCGTAATATCTCATGCGGAAAGATCCCATCGCCGGATGCTCGCGAATCACGATAAAGGTATCACTCGGACGCGGGCGGAAGAGCCAAGCAAAGGCGACTCTCGAGTCGCACAGCCGCGGTCGTTTCCGCGCGCGTGCGCGCGCGACACATCGGGCGATCGGGAGAAAACGTTTTTGTTTTCGTGCGTTTTGCGCAAAACCGTTGCTTCGAAATTGTGTGCGATAACGCTCGTCATTGGCGGATCGCGCTGTTAATCGCGATGTATCGCGACGTATTTCGCGTACGACTGATAAGGAACTCGCAGTGAACTGCTGCGCTTAAGCCCCCGTGTCGCACTACGGATTGAAGATTAGATTTCGACAAATCAACGAACTTCGGTCTTGATTTGCTCTATTCCGATTGGTCAAATTTCAATTTTCAATCCGCGATCCTTCATCTTCAATCCGAGAGTGCGACAACACATCCTGGCACGAGTTTCTGCAGGATGGAACCGCCGACACGATAAACGCAAACAATTTGCTGCTTCATTAATACACATTCATACACGCGCAGCCGCAGAATCGATGTGTGATGTATGTACGGTGACGCCGGCATAAATTAGCGCGACATACTGCAATTTACATTGCTGCGAAAAGCGCGCGCAAGTCAGTCGACAATTTCGCGCGAGCGGCGCGACGCGCATCTCGCGCGCGCGCAGTCTTCGCATCATTTCGCCGCGCAGTTTTACTTTCACCTGTGCGGCTGCCACGCTTACCGCCGATAACGGGTCCGCTGTCGGCGCGTCATTATCGAGTTTTATGTTATCTCTTATTGAATATCTCGGCGCGAGCGCGCGCGCGCGCGCTCGCGCCGTCAAATCGCACACGTCAAAAAGAACACCCGGCCGTTTACAAGCAAACGCGCGCATGCGCTCGAGACTCGTCGTCGCGTTGTTGTAATCGCGTCGTCGTCGGTCGCGCTCGAGTCTACTCGGCCGACGTCGACTCTGCGGTTCGGGCGTTTCCGCGCCACGCTTGTACGAACTTAACCTTATTACACACTCTGTGGCAACGATTAACCGAGTCTTACCGCGTGCTCTCTTTCGCCGTGTGTTCCAAAGCACGAGCGGCGGCACGTATCTCTTTTATGTACGCGAATCGATCGCGCGAATATCGCCGCTTCCTCGCGATATTCGAGTCGTCGTCGTCGTCGTCGTCGTCGTCGTCGTCGGCTCGGCAGCGGTCGTTACACGCCGGACAAACGAAATTACGTCACGCCGCGCGCGCGCGCGCGGCACCGCGCGTAACACAATTACGCGCCATTATCCATGCGCTTACGTTTGACCCGCTTTTAATTCCTGCATCGGTAATGCCTTTTCTTCTCATTTTAAATCCGCTTCTCACGTCGACTGATTTCCCGAGCATGACGCGGGCGGAAAGGCCGAACTGGTGACTCTCTCTCTTTCTCTCTCTCGAGTTGTACAATTCGCGCGGTTGTTTCTCTATGTGTGATGACATGGGATGGACGATGGAGAGAGGATAGGTTTTCGTGGCTTTTCCAAAAGGACCACTTTTATTGCTTGGTTCTTACTTGGTTATTACTTGGTTCAATTATGCGATAACGCCACTCGGCGTGAATACGCACGACACACGCGTATGCGTCATATCTACGCGATACGCGATGCAAAGTGTAAAATAGAGAAAAATCGCTGCGCCTGCGCGCACGGGAGGAACCGCCGTGCGAGAGAAAATGCGCCGCGTAACTTTTCGTGGCTACCATTTATCGTCGCGTGCTGAATTATTCGTCACAACGTTACTTTTTGCGCGTTTCGATGATTGAGAAATAAGCGGGAATCGTGTGTGTGGGGGGGGGGGGATACGCGGGTTAATGCCGCAGGGACGGAATGAGGATCGATCGGGCGTGATCAAATGGAGTTAAATGCACCCCGCGCGCGCCGCGATACGCCGCCGCGCCGTCCTGCGTGTTCTGAAAAACGCGCGCGCCGTAGGCTCGTCGGTAAAGGAACACGGTTTAGCCGTAGCATCTAATGCAATCCGAGTAACTGGGTCTAGGCCCTCAAGGCCCAACGATTAAGCGAATCTCGAAACAGGCTCTGTCGCAATAGCCGCCTTTGCACGCCGTTTTCCACGGCGGCGGCGTTCCTACGACAGCAACGGCAACGGGAGATTGCTTAACGCGGAAAGTTTCCAGAGTGCTTGCGAGTGTTTACGAAAGGAAGCGGTTTCTTACCTGCGCCTGCGATATCGCGAGCGCGCGTGCCTTTAAAAACGCGCGGAGAAGGAAAAAATACAGACTGACGAAAATCGCATCGATAACGGAAAAAGTCTTGGTGATGACGCCACCTAGCGAGAGGCGACAACGGCGGCGCTGTCTCCTCCTCCTTCTCCTCCTCTCCGTCACTGGGCGCGATAACGTAATAAAGTTGAGAGGAATGAACGCGATTTTGCGCGATAACCATCAAGATCAGGAACTCGATAATCGGGCTCGTTCTTAAGCGATAACGTGTCGCACCAGCCGGTGGACGCTGCGAATTTCTCGCGCACGTACGATCGCGGCGAACGCCGTGAGAATTGCCATTCGACTGCCTCTCTCTCTCTCTCTCTCTTTCTCTCTCTCTCTCTCTCTCTCTCTCTCTCTCTCTCTCTCTCTCTCTCTCTCTCTCTCTGATCATTCGCAATCGTCGTTTCTGCGCGCCCCGGACTCTCAGGAGAATTCCCTCCGTCGTCGATCTTTTGACATTCACGAGGAACTCGTATTCTCGCCGGAAGTAGGGATGCAACGATTTCTCAAAATATCGATGACGATGATATTATCGTCATTCAGAACCATCGATAATGATAATATCGATAATTTTGAAAAATATCGATATTTATATGAAAAAACGTATGCATATAGGGGTATGCGTATAAAGGGTATACAGGAAAAATTTAAAAAGATCTCTTAAAAATGCTTATCTTCATATAATTTATTGTCATGTTCTTATTAGAAAATATATAATAAACCGCAGTCGTTTGCCGGAGATCACCGCATACATGGAGCAGGAGATCTATTGCGACGATTCAACGACGATTGAGGTGAAAATGATAAGAATGAGCGAATTTATTAGAAACCGACCAATTACATAACATATATATTCCAGTAAATTCACTCACTTTCTCATAATTTTCATGTCGGTCGTAGAACCGTAATATAGGCCCCCAGAGCTGCAACTGAAAAATACGAAATATCAGTAAAACTCATATCGATATATCGATTTTATGGGAGACAAAAAATATCGACAAATATTCTACGAATATTTGTCTCTCTCGATATATCGATATTATCGACTTATCGTTGCGCATTCCTAGCCGGAAGTCGCTCGCGTCGGGCTTTGCGGAGCTAATAACGCAGACTGAAGTCGACGGGTCCGTCGAGAGCGGTGATTAATCGTCGTGATTTTGAAAGCTGACGAAAAGAAACACGGGCAGAGAGAGAGAGAGAGATAGAGATAGAGATAGAGAGTCTCTCCCTCGCTCGAGCGTCGACGATAACAGCAGAATTAGAGACCAGCGTTGCGCGCGAGGTGCGAAAAGAGCGGGCGAACGCGCTTGCTTGTCGTAATCGCGCAGATAACAACACCTGTCACAGATCCGCGGCAAACTTGTCGTTCGCAACGATGCGTGAATACGGGAACAAGGCTCGTTCGGCACGACGAGCGTCGTTCCGCGCTCTGCGCGCGCCTTGAACGAACGCGACGCGACGCGACGCGACGCGGGTCGAAAAGAGCACACACTTCGGCCGTCATCTCGCCGGCGCGGGCGATTCTCTCTCGTCGACGACGCTCCTCGTCGCGTCGAGCAACGCTGCGGGATTCGCTCGCCACGTGAGAATTAACAGCCGCTCCCCGCCAACGAGCGGCCGGGTACGTGCTCCCGCTCTTCGGCCGAGATTTGTAAACGTGAAGTTAATTATCTGCGAGCCGATAAAATCAACGTACGCGCGTTCTCGTTCCGTATTCGCCGCTGAATAAACCTTCTCGTCTACTTATCAGAAACGCGCGGCCGTCCGGCGCTCCTAATTATCTGTCTGTCTTTAATTAATGTAAATGTCGTGCGAGAGAGCGCGCGCGCGTGTGTGGTCTTTATGCTGTCGACTGAACGTCGTACACGATTGGGCGCGCGCGTAACGTAATGCATTTGCAAGTAATTTGGTTTCGATGTATTCCGATGTGTTGTCACGCTTCTGCTGTGCGCGTTGATGTCAGAGGTTGTCGTCAGAGGCGGCGCCGCAGTGGGACCAGGTGACATTTTTTGCTT